TTGAGTCCGTGAAATCGCCAACGACCATGGCGGCTCCCGTGGTGTTGGTAACGATTGTAGGCCGAGTGATCAGGCCTACTTTCTCGTTCCACACACAGGCGAACTGGAAAACATTTCCAGGTTCACTCAGCACCTGCTGCCGATGATTGGTGTTCATACCAGGCTGGAGGGTACGCTGAAGAAGTTGGGCAACGACAGGGTTCACGGCGCGAGCGGTTGAGAACGTCTGGACGGGTCCATTCTTTCCACGAGAAAGGGAGAGTTGGCGAGCAGACATGGTAGTAGGCACGGGCAATGAGTTGCAACTGGATGGCTAAGGGAAAACTGATTCGAGAAGGAATCGACTTGTGAGCAAACCGACCTGCGGAGATTGCTCCAGCGGGGCGCTAGGCCCCAGCAAATTTGAGGCCAGAGTTCACCTAAGTTAGGTAGGCAATTGGAATATTGCTCATCAAGATTGGGCTGGAAGTTTGGAGTCAACATGACACCCAAGTAAAGTAGGCCTCAGTAATTGATTTGCCTAACCAAATTTCGTATAGACGAGTTGGTTCATGATGCACGTGACATGGGACGGGTCGCCAGGCGCCGCGGAGTAGGGGGGTCCCGGGGGCTCAAAGACTTAACACGGGCACCTTATGATAACTCCATGAATCGGGGAAAAAGAATTAGAGGGGGAAACCCATTTAAGTCTCTCGCGGAAAACGCGTGTCGATCCCAGGTATCCCTCCGTTGGTCAACAACGGAAAGAAAATGAAGTCCCGGATACCGGAAAAATCCGCAACAACAACGATGGCGGTTCATGGGGCGGTGAAAGCACCAGGGGACGACAACGGGCCCAAAGACTAGTAAATAGTAGGATAAAAAATAGAGCCAATAGCGGCATGTTCCTTCTCGACCGATAGCGGTCTTACGAGTTCTTAAGAACTCACGGAAACGTGAAGGGAGGCCACTAAGGGCGCCCATGTGTCACTAGTGACGGGAGAGCCTGTGGTACGAAACACACAGGGTCCGGTGAAGCTCACACAACATGGCCCGACTATGCGGGACACATGGGCGGAGGCACCATAAAGAGAGATGGACCAAGGACGGCAAAAGCAAAATTCCATGGTCCAGAAGCCTGTTGGTGGTAATCCAGCATCAGAAAACCAAACAGTGAGGAACTGTTTGGCTGATGCTGACCTCAACCAGTCTACAGGATGGCAGGTCAGACTCAGCCAGGAACAGTAAACTGCCCCGCTGGCTTAGAGTCTTGGCTACAATCCTCGATCTCCGTCGTTGCTTGTTTCGTATGTAGCTAGCTAGTTCGTAGCCTCGAACACCTCTACCCCAACTGTTACTAGAGCCACTTACTCTTGCCACCTCTTAGCTTTTTTGACGCCCAGCCCCCGGCTGCAGACAACAGACAACCCAGCATGTGCCCCGTACAGCCCAGCCGTATCAGCCACACTGGTATTAATAAAACGAGATAGATGAACTTCAATTTGAGCGGCAACGTTTTGGTGTTGTGGCGAATCTTCCATTGAAGACCTAATAACACAACCTATGAAGCTACCTATGATTACAGACCAAGATCAAAGCAACTTGAATGCGTAGCTCCATTAAAGATAAGTGCTCCTTTCGAAGAAGCCTTCGCAACAGGAAGACGACCATTTTTGCTTTGATTTGCCAAGGTACCGTACTGGTAGATATCGCTATGAATACGGTGGCTTCATGTCGCCAACTGGCTACGGTACGGTAGCTGGCCAGCCAGCCAGCCAGCAACTGTGGCTACGGTACCGGTACATGAACCGATACTGAGTACTGAGTACTGAGTAGTCATTTAATAAAAGAAGCGGTACAGCCCGAAGCCTATCATAGTTTCGCCAGGTTGCACCGAGAAATCGGGAAATGTGAGTTCCAAACCTATTTACCCAAACACGAAGTAAACCGAGAGTTTGTATTAAGGTAGACTTGGTAAACCTTTAAAATGCATAATCATTATTGCAATACATGTTTTCCCTCAACTACCATACTAAAGCAGTCTTTAGCGGTTTTCGTATTTCGGAGTGTTCCCGAAATCTTGTTGATTTCACCTGTTTGCAGCTTTGAAAGGCAGAGCTAAAAGGGCAGTACCAAGTATCCAGAGGCACTTCCCGAGGAAGCTGGGAAGTTTGATTTTGGCAATCTAACCAGAAGCTGCAGTCCGCGCTACCGGTACCAGCAGGAACTGGCACTCCTGGCAATGATGGAGGGCTTCTCTTCTGAATGCTTACCGGTGGACAAATGCAGTTTAAAAAGCTATCCAAGAGAAGGAGCCAATGACTTAAACAAACGGGTCGACAACAACACTTTCGGCCTTTTTGGCCTTCTTTATCTGTTCGGGTGGCGACCGCTTCCTTGGAGGTTTTCTGACAATCAATTTTACACTTGTATTCTTGCAGTCCTTGAGAACCCCCTAGGGGAGAATTTGATTCCTGGTGATTTAGTAACCAGTTCGCAAGTTGATGGGCACGTCGTCGCTTCAAGATGGCTTTAAATCCAAATTCAATATTCTTACTGCTGATATTTCCAACATTCATTCAGAACAAAGAAGGATAGTCAATGTATGACATTGTGTTGGTCCCAGTTTTTGTCTTGTGCAGTCTTCCAAGGGTCGTCGCGAGAATGGCTGGTGATGGGAGTTCTCAACGGTGGGCTGACGGGCACTCTTTTGTTGCAGCATCTCAGCAGCCAAGAATGGGGGCAACCACAGTGGACAGAGCAAGAGCACATCGGAGCTCCTCGGACTCTCCGCACGGCGACGCTCCCTGCGCCTGTACAATGCTCCTGTCACCTGTGCTTGTCCCTTCATTCTCTACTGTGGTAACTATCTCCCACTGGTGGTGCTCTACTACTAGCTAGTATCCTTTGGCGGTCCCTGTCCCATCCCAAAGCCCAAAGCCCAGAGCGCATAAAACACAAATCACAGCAGCGTTTTTACTCTTGCAGCCATTCCATTACCAACTAACGTACCGTAATTCAAAATCCCCACTCAATCAACCCACTAGCTATACCATGGGAGACCAATTCCTTTCGCAAGGCACAGCCCCCGATGGCTCTGGAACCGCTGCGGCACCCGCCGAAGCTGTACAAGAGGAACAGCTCCCTATCTATGCCGGCAAGTGGACCCAGGAAGAGGAGCAGTACGCTCAGTTTCTCATGGAAGAGTTCCGGGCTGGTAACATCCCTGGCCTTGAAAACGGGGCCAGTATGAGGAACTACTTGGCCAAGATGCTCATCTGTCGCCCGAAGCGTGTGACAAAAAAGTACGAACGGACTGGATACAATGGTAAGCTGACGTATCAAGGCAACCTGATCAAGTTGTCTCCTCAGCAAGCACAAGAAAGACACCAGAAGCTTGCCGTCTTGCGAGCAAAGTTCTTGGAGAGTCGCAAGCAGCGTCTTTGCCTTGTCCTTCCCGGCAGCCTGAAGCCGCCTCCTCCCTCTCCTTCACCCTCCATGACTCATGCTGCCAGTTTGACTGCAGCCGGACTTGGACACAGGTCAAGCTTCACGGCTTTGGACAACCAGGGATCCTTGTTGGGACAGAACTCATTGGCTTTTGGTTTGACTGGTGGAACAGGCGGAGCAGCTCAGGGAGGCATTCTGGGTGGCATGGGTGGGCTTGGCGGTTTGGGAAATCCGTTCCTCTCGCATGCCGCCGAACGAAACGCTCTGACTTCTCGGCTGTTGGCATCTTCTATGGGTGCTGGCATGGCACCTGCACCTGCCTTGCATCCTGCCCCATCAGGGCTCGGAGGGCTCTCGGATCAACTCTTGCTCAGGAGCAGTATGTTTTCTGGCGGTGGAGCACAAAACCCACTGCCATCCTCGCTTCATCAGAGGGGTCCTCTTCTCAACTCGGCAGCTGCTCTTCCAAGGGGAAGCATAACATCCACCTCCTCAGGTACAAACCCATTTCTTGCTGGCGGCGACCCTCTAGCACAGCAGCATGTGTTGGCCCAGTTACAAATGGAGAACGAACAAAGGGCCAATGAACTCATGACAAGGCGCCATCTTATGGCGGAAATACACAGAGAGGAAGAACGAAAGGCTTCCCTGGAGCGGGTCCTATTGGAGCAATACCATAGAACTGGAGAACTGGGAGACCCCAGTGGCGCCGAGGGATCTGAACCTGGTGATCGCGAAAGACGAGCAGGGCTGAAACGCACTGGAGCTGACCCGCCCGATGATGGCCCCTCTCAACAAGATTGGAAGAGGCACAGGGGGCTCTAAAAAGCTTGCGGGTGGTTGACCAGTTTTGGCCACTGTAAATAAAAAGCACTAATCTAAATTAGTATAAGAAGGAACTTGAAATGAGCAAACAAATAGATCTAGGTGATTGGTGGTATCCTATGAAAAATGACAACAAGGGCTCTTTGCTCCGGAGCTACGCTACGGTAGGCTCGTTGCTCTCTGTTGCGCACTCTTCCATTGGATGTCACAGTTTCAGAGCTGGACTTGCTGGCTGCCTGACAATTTCAAAGCAATGGGAAGCGTACTAGTGCTGCGTGCTTCAGGAGCCCCACGGCAAGTCTGGAATGGATGTAAGGCAGTTGCCGGAGAGCTCCTCCGGAAAAAGAAGCAACTACGATGCCGCTGGGGCGTGCCCGCTGACGGAAACAAGCGGACAGGCAGTGGCAGCAGCCAGTTGATTGATTGACTAGCTAACTAGCCAGCTAGATAGAACGACCGCCCGAGTTTGCATAAGGACAAACAGAGCCATGCAGCCATGTTCCTACGTTCATACCAGTGGTTGAGAACACCGCACCATCACACCATAATCTTGTTCGCCCCCCAGCTAGCTATCGACGTCCTGTAGCGTTACCAGCACAGTGTAGCCAGCCATTCTACAGTGTAGCTATCTACTAGCTAGCTAGCTCCAGCTAGCAGCTGGCTACATGTAGCTGGAGTGCCTGCGGTTTATCACGTCAGCACTGCTGGCCGTAACTCTGGGTTGTTAGACAATACTAGCTAGTACTAGGTACTAGTACTACTGTGCTCGAGTGCCTGGTACCATTTCACTCTTGGGAGCTCTCTTGGGTCTGGACTCTGGACGAGTTTCACTCTTGGGTCTGGACTCTGGACTCTGGACGGTGGACTGCCCACTCTGGGAGACGAGTGGCCTGATTGTCCAGTGTCGGTTGTCGGGGACCATGAAGAATGAAGGAGCTGCGATGTCTCGAATCTCGAGGTTTGAGCTTTCTTGGTCCGAGATCGGAGACTCTTGGTTTTGCCAGTATACTGGACACTTTTTTCTACTGTGTAGTTGCCTCTTACGGGGAGACTTTGCGAACTCAAAAAGCATCTTCAAGTGATTCGCAACCTATTGCAGCATTCTGAAAAGAATAGAGTTTTGTAAAGCTTTTGACCCCGCCAACTGTCCAGTGTCAGTTTACAGAGCTGTGTACAGATGTACAGATCCGCTATCGACTATGATACCTGGTAGCAAAGAAGTGACGTTGACCACGAAAAAGAGCATCATTCAGTTAAGACTTCGAATGCTCTGCCTTCCTCGTTCGTTCCCAGTTCCTAAGAAGAGAAGCCCCAAAATACGAACCAAGATTACGAGTAAGTCTACTCTTACACCAAGAGGCAAGTGCAGCGATGTTAAACCATTTCTTTGTACTTTCTCCCAGTGGCTTAAAAGGGGGCGAGCTCTTGGGGAAAGCAAGTGTGAAACGTCATTGCCCCTTGGCGAGGATCCTTCTGGATATCTCAATGGTATTAACAAGAAACGGAGATCTCATCCTGCACAGAGGTTACGGTAGTGGCACATCCACTGGTTTAGAAAGGACACTACTAGCTAGCTAGTACCGGTACTACTCACAGAGCCAACAGCCCGACCACCACCAAGCTCCAAGAATCAATCCATGTAGACGCAACGATATCCACGCTTTGACGATTGGATTTTTGGCTGCTCTGAGAGCGAACCTCACAGGTAATAATGTGGGATCGAGCAAACAGCCATCACTGCTCAAAGCTCAGTTCATCATTTGAACTGGTTGCCACAACCTTTCCCTGCACTGGGGCATGCGAATCCCTCCTCTTCCGCTCTACTTCAAGTCAGTTCGTCCAACCAGGTATTACTGGCTGGTAGATGGCTAGACGAAGGAAGGGACAGCTCGTGTTCACTTGACTGTGTCTCTTTTCCAGCCCTTCAGGCTTGAGGCACTTGTTATGAATCGTTATTTGTTCCTTAGACTACTTCCATCTTTTAGAATTCCAACAATTCCAACACCTGGCTGATTCGATTCGAGCGATGTGTGGCTTTTTAAAAAACATGCATAAACAACCACCAGGATAGCCCCTCGGCTCGTCCCAAACGGGGAGTGTACGGTAATGGTACCGGTACTGGTACAGGTGACCAACATCTCGATATTTGTATCGCACGGCTGAAATCTCAGGTTGCGGTCTTGGGCTGCGCAGAAGGACACAAAGCGAGTGTGCGTCCTATGTTTGTTTTGAGGTACCAAAACCAACACCTCAGTGCAAGGGGTTCAGGATGGTGTGCCTACGGCACAAAGGGACCAGCACATTAAAGCAAAACCAGTATTGAAAACGAAAGTTTGATTGTCATGTGAAGGCTTCTGGGCTTCTGATAGGGTCCTGTGTTTCAGCAGGCTTTATAGATGGCAGGGACTCCCTTCTCCAACGGCCCTCCATCCTATTAAGAAATCTTCGGGGGAGTGTGTGGCTGAGAGTCCCAAGCAAATATTGTACCAGAAGGCAGAAGGAAACTATCAGAAGGAATCCACTGACAAGCACTAGCTGCTCCACATCAATATCTTGAGAGCCTGGGCGTGTTGGAGGGGATTCCTCATGCTTGCATGGGAGTGAATCAGTTGTGACCGACCAATCTCATTTGGTGGTATGAAGCGCCAGATAGATAGAAGAGCAGAGCTCCAAGTATCAATACCAAGCAGAATAGATAGAGAGAAAGAGCTCATAGTCTAGAGAGAACAAACAAAGCAAACAGTCTAGCTACAAGCAACCTGAACAAGGACTCTCCAACAGGCAGGTTTTTTAAACAGAAGGTACGTACCTGGAGCCTATGTTCAAGTTGCCAGCGACCTGAGCCAATGGTGCCATTGAGGGGTGCGCGGTACTGTATTGATATGGTTGCATGGAAGTTGAGAATGACACCTTTGGAAACACCTTGTTTGGGCTAACCTTGGAAACACACCTTGCTCTTTTAAAAGTCTCCAAATGCCCTTTTCGCTCTATAGGCGGTTTGGGCTACTCATGAAGCCCAAGCTGTATGGCAAATTTGTCTTAGAGATTCCAGGAGTTTGCTATTGCTACTGCAACTAGCATGCACATAATGCCAATGCTCGAGCTATTTGCCCCAGTTGGTTTGGGCTACCAAAGCAGCAGCCCAGCATTGGGCTGTTGTTGGGCTATTCCTGCAGCCCTATCAACTTGGACTACCAAATAAGCTGAAACATTGGGCTATTACTGTAGCCCAAATTGTTTAGGCTAATCAAGCAGCCTGGCATTTCTGGGTTGCTGGAATGCATTCAGCCAATCGAGGAGCCCTAATGTTGACCCCTCCTGAAATCTCTCTAATCGAAAACTTGATCTTCAGCTTAGGCTACCCAAGTTGTCCCACTACTAAAGTCGGTAACATTTTGCCTTAAAGTGGTCAACATGTCTATAGAATTCAATAGCGTTTGCTTACAACAGGAGAAACAGCTGTTTCCGGGTGAGTCAGTGTGCACAAGGTGTTTCCAAAGATGGCGCTCTTTTGAGGCAGGGCAGGAACAGTGGAAGCAAGCCATTCACACAGAGTCGAGTCAGCCATTCACAGCGAGGTTCAATAGGGATTGAGCCAAAGTGTTGTCATCATCTTGGCAAAGGCCAACTAAGTTACTGGTACCAGTACCACACACCCTAGCTCTAGCTAGTAGTAGCCAGCCAACATGACCAACGATTTAGTAGAGACGGGAAGCGGATGGTGGAAAGCATGCTATGTCTCGTTATTACTACGACAAGCAAGGCCGATGCTACAAGTGTGGTGTGCAAATAGTTGTTTGTTGCAAGAACAAGACTATCAAGTGCTACAAAGCAACCGATCTGGAGGAAGAAGAACCGGACACAAAGAAATTTGGAATTGTCGAGCTGCGGAAGGAGAAGAAACTCGTTACACGATTGCATTGCAAATGATGAAGAAGCTGGAAGGACCTGGATTGAGGTGACTAGACTAACAAGAAGGATTGATCGAGCGAAGCATTCGGAGTACCCAGGTAGTCTAGTAGGAAGGGTGTTAGCTAGCGGGTAATTTTGATACTTTTGTGGGAGTGATTCAGTTGTGACCGACCGACCAAGAGGCATGACCCACCACGCCCCACTGCTGTAGATAACAACTTCCCTACCGGTAGCTATGTATACTCTGTCTCTACCCTTCTCAAACTATTGCAAAGGCATCCACATATGGTTCCAGGACGGGGAATAATCCAGATCTTAATCTCACTTTGGTTGGTTGTCAGATGGGCAGTGAGTAGACTAGCTGGCGGGCTTAGCTAGCTTGCCTACCTACTGGTACTAGCTAGCTAGAAGGCAAGAACTTCTTGATGGGTAACTTGGTAAGTTGTGGGAAGCCTAGCTAGCCAGCCAGCTACCAGATACTAGAGCTAGCTAGAGAAGGCAAGAACGGGTGGGTAATTTGTCGGAACCTTCGCAGCATCGACGACGCAAGAATGAATTGGCTTGGTAGACCTGTAGACTACTAGCTAGCTGGCTAGTAGTACCAGTACATTTAAACATGTACCTGGTACTACTTTGAGAACCCACCAGCAATGATAGGTTTGGATGACTACTGGCTAGCTAGCTAGCTAGCTAGTACGACTGTACAGTGCCGGTTCGCAAACCTCGTCATCATCGTTGTGGGAGCTAAGGTTACCCCCATCTCTAAACATCCATGATACGAATCTTGAAGAAAAAGGTTTGTCATCGAGTTGCAGTGAGCATCCGGCAGTGCTGTTCTTCGGACACACGACATCTGGTGCCATTACGTTGCCTTTTCTGGATCCCGTAAAATTTGCTTTGATACGGAAGACGGCTATATCTCTCGCACAAGAGGGACTGAAGGTACGAATCAGGACCACAGCTTTAGCAAACGGAGGTGGATGCGGTAAACTTCAATCTAGATAGAAATAATGAGAGTAGACAGTAGCCTTTACTCCATAGTTACCTCAACTTCGTTCTGAAGATTTCTTCCACCATGCCATGTCTTCGGCCAATGAAGATGCAACATCGCCTCTCAAAAAGCTGCTCACAATTTACAGCGGCCACGTCTTACTTCGAAATCATTTGATTTGATTTGGAGGTTGTGGTGGTGTAAGAGCTGGTGGAATAATAATAACGTGTGTGGTCTCTTGGGTATCGTATTGCCTTTTTTAAGCGAGGAGAGGAGGTGTTCATTCATTCATTGGCAGTAAGCGCGCCACCTACTTGACAGCCTTGTTCGTTGAAGCATAAAGCCACGAGAACGGAACGCACTTACTTGACCAGCCTGGTACTATTGGCTGCTCCGTTATTGTTCTTGTTGGCATTCAATCAAGCATCCTTTGAAATTGAACTGACTGATACATCAGCCATTTTAGCAGTAGCGTCAAGTTGATCAGGGTCTCTTTGACTGGAATCAGCATCTCCCTCCTTTCCATTGCGAAGCCTACAAGAGTCTGAGATCTCATCTATCCTACACAAGCTAACCAAAGACAGCAACAACAGATAGATCATCATCACCATGTGCAATTACGACCGCCTTCCCCGCGTTCCTTCTACCGCCGACTTGAATGACGTCAGGCCCGAAGACAACGAGTTGTGGACCAAGGATCATGGTGCTACTACACAAAAGCTCTTGGCGTGTCCGTACAATGGCGGCGCCATGTCGGTCACATTGGTAGCATCGGCTCTCTTGACATCCTGTATCGTTACCTTGTTTTCTCTCTACTTTCCCTTTTGGTTGGCTCCTCAGGCTGCCAAAAAGACGTACAATTTGGCGTTCTATCAGTACAATCAAGACGCACTCCATCATTTCGACACGACGGCATGGACGTACGGAACCGACTATGGACTCGCCACGGTCATGGTCTACTTTAGCTATAAACTCTACCGACAAATTCAGAGGCAACAACCGTCCACGGCACCCTCTCGCTTTTGTCAACACAGTTGGGGACTGCTTTTGGGATATGCGGCTAGTACGACCGCCGGTGCGGTCGCGCATCAGTACTATGCCACACGCCAGGATCGCAATACGTGGCATTTTCGACTCTTGTGGACGATTTGTGTCGGTACTGTCACGTACGCCAGTGCGCCCATGGGCTCTATCGCGAGTGAAATGGCACGGCAGTTTCAGCCCCACATGACCACGTCGACGCTGTTGACACGCTACGTTATTCCCGAAACGTTTTGGAAAGTCTTTGGCATTGTCACCACGGCCGTTTGTGCGTTTGGATGGTTCTCCTATCAACGACCCGCCTGTGATATCTTTATTGCCGGAATTACCCAATTCCCATCCAGTTTTTACGTCATTGCCGCCATTTTCCAGATTGGACGAGATCCTGCCGTCGCGGCATTTGTCACGCCCACTATGCAATGGATGGGCATGCTGGCATTTATTGGCAATGCTCCCCTCTTGCCACTGTATCCGCTCTTGGTACAGTACACCGATTGGAGTTTGGCCAATGTCAATACGTTTTTGCATACGTGGTTGTTTGTTACCTGGAGTATGCAGGCCATGACGGTCATCAATATGGAAAAGGCCATGGCGGATCTACAGCATCGTCCACCCATGGCGGTACCACAGAAAATCAAGGACGCTTGACTGCTGCTGCCAACAACAACGGTGCTCGAGCAGATGATGATGACGAGATGAAAATGAGCTTCTGTTCTGATCTGATCGAGCTGAACAAGCCATTGACTTTCTGCTTTCTTTGTGACAATCAGTTTTGTTCATTAGTATCCCTGCATGTTAACAAGGAAACCCATTCACACACGCACCTACCTTTTTGTTGTTGTGGAGCTTGCTGTATGCTACTTAATAAACTACTTTGCGGACCACCACCACCAAAATCACCCAATACTCATCCTCTCCAACCCAAAATAAAAAATACATACATAGGAATAGCTAAGCTAATTACTTGTCTTTTTGCATGAATGAATGAACGAACACCCGTTTGAGTCTTCTGGTTCACGAAAGAACTAGTCTTCGCGCAACACTTGTCTTCATCTTGTGGAGAGAGGAAGACAATCTTGGTGATGAGAACTCAACACAAAGCTCCTTTGAAGTTCTGCTGGCTGCGAATTCATTTGATCATTCTGACAGCCGGCTCCGCCCTGTTCTCATGCTTGTGGATCTTCCTCGTGCCCTCGATCGAGTTCGAGTTCGAGTGGACGTTGGAAAGCTGCAGTTTGATCCTGATGTCCGCGGTTTCAAGTGGCTGCCCACCGTTTGTCCAAGGGCGGCGGATCGGGCCGCATGTAGCTTGTCTTGTGTTGTAGTAGCGGGGACAGCCCACTGGCTGCTGGGTGTCGCCTTGACCATGGATGTTGCTGTTGTTTTCATTGGTACCGTACAACGACAGATCAACGCAGTGCAGGAGGACCGGGAGCCCAATCGATGTTCATACGATCTCGATTGCTTGGGCATTCCCATTTTCGACCTAACCTAACCGATTTTTCTATACCCTTGCTTGAAAGCATGGTTGGTAGATGTGATGGCTGAGACAACAAGGCAGCCGGGAGTACGAGGATGTTGAGCCTTGTCTCCAAAGATTCGCCCAAGCCAGTGGAAGCATCGCGAATGAAAGGATCGTTGCTGTCGATCATTCTGACCTACTGCACCAGTATAAGAAAGGGCCACCAATCTAGCTAGAGCATGAGTGAACCAAACGTTTCGAAGGAAGTGACTTCAAATCGCGCGATGCGCCTCCCCGACTCTGCTACTACTATCGGTATCACTGACTGAGCGGCATCGAAGAAGGCCGCTACAGTACCGCGCCGTTCGTCAATGACAGAGGAGTCTAAAATCCTTGGGCGCACTGCACAAGTCGCGATTCCTGGAAGCAAGCCCGCACTTCGTCGCAACGACCCCTGTAAAAATTGACCTGTTCTACATATATCTATCTAGCTGCTAGCTTCCTACGGTATCTGGCCTCTGGGGTGGTTATAAGTGCTGGCCATTGGTTGGTGCCGACGATGAGCTCGAGGCGTCTTGGGTTCGAGAAGCTGCAGTATGGTGGCACCAAGGGTCAAGTTTTGTGCCCAAGGTGGCACCATCTTGGCTGACACGGAGGCCTTGGGAATGAGCGGCGTCGAGACATTCCCCGACCGCTCCAGCACAAGAAGAATCGAATCACAAACCACCATGGTGAACTAGCTTTAATAATGAGACCAAACTTCCTCGCAATACAACGGGTCGGCTTCCACGGAGGTGCCTTGAACTGCGAGATTTTGGTCGGCAATCCACGGGACAACATTGGGGAGGTAGTTTTCGGGTGCTTGGAAAAACTCGTGGACTTCGTCGCGTGTATACCGGTGACTAAAGTGCATCAGGACAAATGTCGCATTCGGGTGAGATTCGATGTGTGGTTTCAGATCGGACCAAAGCACATGCTTGCTTTTGGCGGCCTGCATCCGGTTGTCGTCTGTGAGGAAGGAACATTCCATAATGACCGTAGGACAAGCCAGGACTTTGCGGCGAATCTCGGCACTGCTGTCTCCAAAGACCCCCTCCGCGGTGGTGTCTCCCAAAAAGGCAAACAGGGGCAAGATTTCTTCTTGTGTCACTTGGACGCCTTGTTTGCGCAAGGCACCAATTTCACGTCCGGGCAATCCCCGAAACTCAGCTTTAAGAGATTGCTTTCGTTGGGCAAAGCAATATCCCACACAGGGCACACCGTGGTCCATGGACACCACATCGCAGACAATGCCTCGTTTGGAATCGACGACCATGTGTTGCCCCGCCGTGACACCGATAAATTCATGATCCTTGTCCCAGGGAATCTCGTCGTATTGTTGTTGCGTGAGGTCGGATGTCAATTGCTGTGCCACTTGGATGAACCGCGTGGCGCCGTCGACGGACGGTGCCGGCAAGTAGATTTTGGGTGGCTTGGACCGTGACTTGATGTGGGTCAGAAAATGACAGTGATCCGTGTGGGTGTGCGAGATAAAGTAGTTGGAGAGACGTTTGCCATGGACAACGTATCCGGCATCCAAACCAATATCAAGCTCCGGAATGCAAAAGGCAGTACAATCTGCCGCCCAACTGCGACCAATCAATTCGACCGAGTTGGACTTGTCCAATGGCGTGTCGCTGTCGTTGAGGAATTTGATGGGTATCCTGGTTCGGAGGACTCGGTTGGCATTGCAAATTTGGACCACCGACTTGCGGGGTTTCCTACAGGCGCAGTCGTCCTGTTGTGATGATGACATGTTGATGTTTATTAGTTGTACTTGTACTACACTACTATTGTGAGAGCTGAGGTTGATGGTGGGTGTTGAGCATGGGGTGGGTCTGGACTCAGCCGTGGATAATGCGTACGAAACGGACAAAGGTGCGTCATAGCTATTGGTGGTGTACCAACCCCAACCCAAAGGACCATTGTCATTTCGATCGGACATCCGATGCTCGCCATCGAGCAGCAAACAACCTAACCATTCTTCTTCATTGTCAACTGCAATGCGACGGGGGTTTAGAGTAGGGAAGATATACGGAAACCGGCCATAGTCCACTCAACCACATTGTTACCCGCTTCTATATATACGCGCAACAAACTACCGTGCACTGGCAGTGCATGGTAGCATTCAGTCCAATACAGTAGCAAGATGGAAGGAGGAAAGGGTTCTCATTCCAGTAGTAACGATACCGCTAATGATGCTGCTAGCTTAGACCCAGCGGTAAGGGACGTCCTTGTTAAAAGGGCGGAAGCAGAAGCCTTACAACGCCAACAAGACCAGAAAACCACCATTACAAAGCAAGCGGGAGACAAAGAAGCAGAGGACGAGGAAGAAGAAATTATGAAAATTGTGGCTGATCAGGCCAGTTTGGCAGTTGCGGAACAGCTCAATGCCAAAGAAGATTTCCGTCAAGAAAAAACAAACACTGCTAGCAACCACCTCCTGCAAAGAGCCACAGAAATCAATGAAGCTGCCAAAATTGAAGAACTTGAAAATGCTGCCAGTTCTTGTAATGATCGTAACTGGCAAAGTGCAGGACTTGCAGTGCAACCAGAACCTATCCAACAACAGTCGTCAACACCAGGGGCCTACATGGGTTTACCGGGCGAAGCCTTGCAACGTGCACCTACCCTACAATTCTCCCTTGTTGGATCCCATGCCTCTGGCCAGGGTGAGCCTTTAGTGCAGATGGGTGATCCAGACGATTCCTCTGCTCTGGCTGAACCACATGATGCAGGACAGCAAAGCAGCAGCACCATCGCCACCAACATTCCATCAACAAATGACCCACACTTGGTGGTGGCAAATCTTGTTATAGAAGATCCAGAGGAGGAACAAACTAGGCCCTCTGCAGATCCAGTCGATCTACGACTTGTCCAGCAGAGAGCGAGAAAGAGGAAGCAACAGAGCCTGATGTTTATTCTCTTCTTTGTCATGTTGATAATTGTGACAGCAGTCATTGTGGGAGCTGTGGCAGGAACCCAACAGAAGGAGCCAGAGATATTGTTCTCTTCATCAACAGATGCTCCCACAGTTTTTGGCTCCATCACTCCTTCTGTAGTACCATCATCCGCCCCCTCTGGGGTTCTAGACTTGCTACTCGATACTCTCCCTGACTACACTTTGGCCAGCATCAACAATGGCAGTGAGACTCCACACTGGAGAGCATGGCAATGGTTAGCCAATCACCAAAACATAACAAACTTGTCTGAATGGAGAAAGACACAGCTCTTTGCCCTGGCTACATTTTACTATGCATTTGATGGAGATAATTGGTACCATTTAATTAAAGGGCACGGATGGATGGATGACACGGTCGATGAGTGTGACTGGTTCTCCAGTGGGTTTGGATATTTTGATTTCTTTGGAACGTACACTGAATTTCAAGCCTATGGTGTTGCATTTACACCTCCCTGCAACAGCCAAGGACAATTCACATCACTGGATCTGGAGCTCTTGCAGCTCTCTGGTCTTCCCCCATCTTTGCCACCTGAGATTGCACTCCTGACTTCATTGGCTCTTGTGACTCTTGCAAACCTGGAGAGCAGCAATGACATTAATGGACCAATTTCATCTCTGTTACCAACAGAATTTTATGAGATGACAGGATTACAGAGTTTGACTTTGTGGGGAGATCGGTTCAATGACAAAATTCCCTCTGAGATTTCACTATTGACTTCGTTGTCCCTACTTCGCTTCGGACTGAACCGCTTGTCAGGCCATATCCCCACCAAGATTGGACTATTGACTTCCTTGTCCGGGCTTGAATTGTATTGGAATGAATTGACGGGCCATTTCCCTTCTGAGCTAGGGCTCCTGACCTCACTGGGCTGGCTTTCCCTAGCTGCCAATCAGTTGACCAATCAAATTCCTTCTGAACTTTGGCTCCTAACCTCATTGCATTCTCTTCTGCTCGAAGAGAATCAGTTCACTGGTCAATTTCCTTCGGAGCTGGGGCTCCTGACCTCATTAGAAGATATTTGGATTCATCAGAATCTGTTGACCGGTCCAGTTCCTTCTGAGCTTGGAAAGTTGACTGCTCTATATCAGTTATTGTTGGGTCAAAATCAGCTCACTGGTCAAGTCCCTTCCGAACTTGGCCTTTTGATGACTGCGACGGAGCTGAGGTTCAACGAAAATTGCTTGACGGGGACAATTCCTTCCGAGCTTGGGCTACTGACGTCATTGGATCAGCTTTATCTTCATGGAAACCAGTTCACTGGCAGGACACCTTCTGAGTTTGGGGCATTTGGGGCTTTAACTACGCTGTGGTTGAATGACAACCAGTTCACTGGCCCAGTTCCCATGGAGCTTTGGCTCTTGACGTCGTTGTCGGAGCTTTACCTTTATGACAATCAGTTTGCCAGCACGCTCCCAACTGAAATTGGCATGATGACATCTTTGACATTTCTGGATCTTCACAACAATAACCTGACAGGAACGCTTCCTAACCAGCTGAATGAATCAATGGGATTGAGGTTGTATGGGAATCAGTTCTCAGGAACTGTCCCAGCGCATCTTTGTTCTTTGCTATGGTGTGATTGCTCCGTAAATGAAACTCCTCCTGTTTCCACGTGTGCTGACCTCAAAGAAGCGCCACCACAGGATTGGCCTGGACGATTTCCAACCAGAGATGCTGCTGTCATGCTGAATATCAAAACTGATGATTTTCCAGAAGAAACATCATGGGTTTGGCAGAAGGAAACCAATGTGACTGGTATTTGGGACGCATTGGAATCAAGTGGTCCACTGGAGCATCAATTGAATCTTTATTCCTCTCCCTTCCCGGTCAATGCTGGCACAGCCTACAGACTGGTTGTATCTGACAGTTGGGGTGATGGTATGACCTCTGGTGGGATTACTCTAACAGGAAGCAATGAAACAGTGTTGTATTCTTTCATTGATGGGGAGGCCTTTTCTGAAATCTCCATTGATGTTTTGGTTGGAACAGATGGATCCTTTGTTATCACCAATTCTACATCTCTGTAATTCTATGCTACATGCATGGTTCTATAGGTTAACAATAACTAGACGCGTGTTTTATTTTGCTGCTTGCAGTCCAAACTGGAGAACTCTCTTTCAAGCTGGGCCAACTCGGATTCATCCCTCCTTTGTTATTTCCTAGTGTTTTGGTGGTGATTCCTGTGTCGGTACCCATTTTCCTGTATGCACAAGTCCGCGAGCAAGTCCTCGAGCGTATGCACAAGTCCTCGAGCGAGCGACAAGATAGATGTAACTAGCTAGCAAGATAATAGAACGCCGATTGCCAACCAAATAGACCATATGATTGCATTAGATAGACCATACCCAATACACTAGTAGAGACCTTGTCGATTCAATAGCATTGCTAGGTCTCTGTTTGATACCCTTACTTCATCACTGGTGACCATGGTTGCCCATTCAGGAACAGGGCTTATCAATTGGTAACCTTACCGTCCACTGACCTCACTGAATTTATTTGTAACCTACTAGTACCGCACTGGTTTCGCGCTACCCCATTATGCGCTTCTTAGATGAACGCATCTAAGAAGCGCATTTTAGCCACCCAATTTACCAGTGTGCTTGTGCGTGATGGTCTTGTGCAAGAGCCTCTACAGTCCGATGCAGGTGCCTACTATTAACTCAGCTTTGCGTCAAATCCACCGTATCCACTTGCACATTGGGAAGAGGAGCATCGTGTGATGCGTTTGCACTTGCCTCAACGTCTTCCTCATGTGCTCTTGTGTCAACAGTTCTCCGTCCCAATAAGCTGCAATACTATCTGTGGTGGCATCCACTGGTAAGTCACCTCTTGTCTGGAGTGCTTCTTCTTCTCTGTCAGTGATTGACTCTATGGCCTCTAATTCTGGCTCCAAGTGCATCTTCTTCCTAGGTCTTTCCTCATCACTATTTTCCTCTGCACTGCTTGTCTCCTCATCATCTCTTGCTCTCCTTTTTCCACCACCGCCATTGTCATCATCCCCACGGTCGTTGTCGTGGGAGTCAGGGTCAGTCCGTGTCTGATCGAATGCGGGATTCGGCAAACTGTATCCTGATGCCGCTTCAAACCCCAGTCGGTCTTGCACGTTTTTAAGCAGTACGGGCACATGAATTTGACCATCGTGCGTGTTTATTTTGTGCAACTGGAAAAGATTTGAGGGGTGGCCAAGTTTTTGCCTTGGATAAAGCGCAGAATGCGGTCAGGTCCAAGGGGCATAAGGAAAATGAATGCCGATTGCGAAAAATGTTTATAGCTTGGTGCACAAGAATGTGCCCATTTGCATGTTGAAGCAGGCGCACCCACAAGAATCTTGTTCAATATAAAGAATGTTCTGTTCTCCATGCACTTTCGTTAAGCATATGCGTAAACACTAGTTGTAGCCTTGCTTATTATGACGCAATGTACCGTACGAATCTATAGGCAACATCAAGATCATTTGG